ACACACTTTTAGACACATTTAATTATCCCCCTGTGCAAATAGTCCATTAGATGGCTGTTAAAAGTAGCATATTTACATAACTCAGGGCAGTTTCTGGTACACGTTCTGTAATAAATTGTGCTTCGTGGGACATACGTGTCATTACTGAAGCAGCTGAGTGACACTATGAATATGAGGAATGGTTTCCGCCCCTCCAGTGGTTTTATGTACCTGGGCCCAGTATATTAAATGTTATAGTTCTCTTAAAACTCTGAGAGGAAACCTGGTCGCTGATTTGGGTCACCTCCATCTATAAAGTCACAGCTATTTCAATACTGTCTTGATTTGATTTCATAAATCAACATGGGTGTAGTCCCATGTAGTCCCAGGACCCTGAACCAGATTATGTTACTGTAATATTGTAGCCTTTAATGAGTGAGTGAGGTGAGTTTTACACTGCTTTTAGCAATATTCCAGCGATATCATGGTGGGGGACACCAGAAATTGGCTTCACACATTGTACCCATGAGAGGAATAGAACCCAGGTCTTTGACTTGATGAGCGAATGCTTTAACCACTAGGCTACCCCACCGCCCTGTAAACTTAAATGAAGGAAGTCTTGATTTTCTACAGGTTTATGAATCTGTCTCATTGGTCCCATTTTCAGTTTAAATGTACAGTGAAACCTGCCAATGCTGGCACCTGTCTAATCCGGCACACTGTCAAACCGGCATAAAAGTTTGGTCCTGCCATTTTACAACGATATCATGATCATTAAAACATTGTCTAATCCGGCACCTGTCTATTCCGTATTCCGGCACGACTTTCCGGTCCCAACAAGCAATATTAACTGTCATTAACACTGTCTAAACCGGCATGGGTATGAGTAGTCCAATCAAGGACCCATAATCCAATACACAAATTAATCCTCTTGGCACGCTAGATAATCAGGAAGTAGTGATTGCGCGGTGAATCAAACGCTTTAAGCCGGCATGGGTATGAGCAGTCCAATCAAGGTCCCTTAATCCAATACACTCTTCTCGGCACTCTGTATTATACAGATAAAGAGACTGACGAGTGTAAATGGCAGCCATATTGGAAAATGATCGTGACTGTCTAAACCGGCACCCTGTCTAAACCGGCATTTTATTTCGGTCCCATGGGGTGCCGGTTTAGACAGGTTTCACTGTAGTTCCTTTTTCTGTTTGAAATATATATTTTCAGAGACCATGCGTTAGGTGCCATGTTGAATGTCTGACTGAGGAAGTGGTCTGATTATTGGACTGGTATATACTAGATAAGTTGATACTGAATGGTACAGTCGGGTCATGTTATCAATGCACAGTTTCCATTTTTTTAAGAAGTGCTCTGGTTTCAAATTTAATTTAAAATGTATACATGGTTGTACATGTAAGTCATGGGTCAAGTCAGGGTTCTGGGTGAGAACTGGTCCCCAGCAACCTGCTCTGGTTGTAAGAGGCAACAGAATGGAGCTTGTGGTCAGTCTCGCTGCCGTGGTTGATGTCAAGTCATCGTAACCTTATGGCATGGATCGGTGCTCACGATATCAATCACAGAACTGTCTACACGGCTGGAACATTGTTGAGTGTGGCGTTAAATAATCAACAAAAGTAATAATATAAATGTCAAAGTTTTCACAGTTAATCAGAAACGTTGTTCAAGATGTACCTAACTTGTATAGTCTTAATATTTAATTATGGTACCTGGTGATAAGAAATATTTTTTAAGTGTTACATTTGCAAATGTCTTTTTGGCTGTACATACAAGTCATAAAAATATTAAAGTCATTTTAATTTTCATGGACAAACCAAACTAATTTCTTAATTTATTTATAGGCAGCATATTGCGATTTTCTTAGCCATTAATGGCGTTAATTGTTGCATGTAAAAGGTTTTTGAAAATAAGCCTTTAACAAGTTGGTTACAGAATCATCTTAATATTTCTTGACACAGAAACACGATTAGAGAAAGTTATGTGATGACTTAAGCCATTTGTGGACATTAATACCATGTGCTTGAGATTGAAGCGATATTCGAGGTCTAAGTGGCAGAGTGAGGTCATGTCGAAGTCTGTGTATCTACAGAGAGAATCTTGTCCCTATCTCACAGCATGGCCCAGTCCCACCACAAGTCTGCACTTCCGCACGTACACACTGACAATTAAACAACAGCTGATCCAAACAATGGATTACATACCTAGTTTGATCATATATCTCTTTAAATCTGGGTTTGGTGAAAGGTGTGTTGTAAATATTGAGACAGAAATAACTTGAAGGTGTTTAGGCAGTTGAGTGTTAGCGTGGAGTAGATCACTCAAGGTTGATATTAGTTATTATAACCTACTTATAGTTAAAGCCATTAAAAAATGATGGATTGACATTTTGGGTATAGGATTGATATGGAGCTTCATGGAAAGCCATACATGTGGACATCATGAAACAATCAGGAAATATGAAGCATCATGAAACATGAAAAATCCTCAAACATCTTGAAAAATAATTAAACATCATGAAATATTTGAAAATATTAAAATGAAGTATTGAATAATATGTGAATTGTTCAATAAATTAAATTGCTTTGTAATTTGGATAGGATTCTAAATGGAATTATTTTTTGTTATTCAGGTACCCCTCACATCTGGTCATTATAGTTTTCATACATACTGATGATATGGCTAAAATATGTGCCCCTTAACTCCATTCTGATTGGAGAATCATCCCTATTAAATTTGAGTAGTATGACATTTTGATGAGATGTATGGAGAACCAGTTTTATTACTCTCCCGTGGAAGATACTGCAGTGTAATATTTTTACGTCAATATTACACTAGTGTAATACCGCTAGACATATCACGTCATAGTGGTTTACACTTATGACTTCACAATGCTAATACCTCTGTCACAATGGTATTAGACCTTGCTTGGCTCACGGAAAGCTGAGAGTCATCACACTGTAGGCAGTTTCTATCAATTTATGTTGGAGAGTAATAAACAGAATACTAAACTCGCTTCCGTGACATACCATCTTTATTAAACTCGTGAAAGATTTAGTATCAAACTCGCTTTCGCTCGTTTGATACCAAATCATTTACTCATTTAATAAAAATGGTATTACACGGAAGGTCGTTTAGTAACCTCTATGTATTTCTAGATCTGGTAACAGCGACACAAACCAGCAAAACTAATTCAGATTGTCTGCTACAAACACTGTAAACGCAATCCACTTAACATGCTTGTAACAGTGTCAGGATGCCAACTCAGAGAGACGTAGCCATAACACGCTATCATAACTTATTGTACACACTCGCAACAAAGTAACCTTCACTGTCCACATTACATCACTGGTTGCCTACACAGCACTGGAGACGGCCGAGTACGTTGGGACGAGATATTGCAGCTACGCAGATATTTGACTTCGAAATTGAGTATCTCCACTTTTCAAGTACTCTTTGTCCAATTTGAAGTGAGGGAAATAAAAATATCTTTTAGATTATCGGGCTTGTGTGAAATATTTCAGGATTACGTTGAGACTGGTTTCTACGATTTTCTAAATGGCAGGTAACACGCCTGCGATCTGAGTTATGTGATATAGAGTGGTATGGACTGGATACGACACGTATCTAAACTGACATACGCTGTAGTCAGGTGGACGTAATATTGTATCCTTAATTAGTTTGTGCTCGTCTTTTATTATTTCATGTCATATTGTAATTGATTTGTTTATTACCTTACAATAAGACCCCTTATTGATGCACTAAGGATATTCTTTTAATGTTAAGGTATAATATTTTTCAGTGAGGTCTTGTAATATATAAATGATGTTAAACTGATGAATCTTTAATGAAGCTGTATTCACTGCTGAGAGGTGATGAATTAAGCTATGTAAACACAACATGTGTAATTGATGAAATAATATAATATATAATAAGTGGTAGTCATTCCATTCAAGTAAGTCTGTGATCGAGTTAGTTAAGGCAGTCATTACGCTTTGCATTTCCTGGTGACTGGAGGACTCACTGAAGTTCAGGATTTGAGAGTTGTAGACAAAGACTACCACAATCATCCTGTCCATTCAATGGTTTACAAATCTGACAAATGAAATGATAGTATCATTCAGTGTTTTATTTCTGGTTGATTTCTGATGTTTTTTGACATTTCGATTTCATTTACTGTCAATATGGTGAAATAAAGAGAAAAGCACAAATCAAGTCAAAGAATTATTTCCTTAACAATTATTTATCTTTTATTATGAACTTCTTCTAAAATATTCATCATGGAAATATAATCAATATATTTAGCAAAGAGAAGAATCTTTTCAGATTCGTTTAATTAAAGTTTTCTGGAAATGGGGGTTATCTAATCTCTGAATCAAATTAAAGTGAAATTTCAGCATTTATTTAATTTTAAGGATAAAAATTTGAGAAATTTGATTGATTAAGCTATTACAGTATCCTGAGTTATGATGTCCCCCATCAACAAATACATCTGCTGTGAACCACATACTGTCCCCTGTCCATCATTGGCTTCCACTCCGACATGTGCGGTATCTACAAGAAGGTGTTTTGTGGAAATCATGCCTCCTCCGACACCTGGTGACAGTAAATAACCTCCCCCCTACCTAGATATATCGATCCACAACAAGCCCATATTTCCACCTGGTCACACACTCAGTTCATTAGCCGCCGCCTACACAATCCAGGTGTTACTTTCCAGGCTTTCACAAACATTCCTCCATTTTCACAGCTCTATTCGAAAATGATAAGCCTTTTTAGAAAATCATGAACTCTGTCGGTTTATTAATTTGTATTTATTTTGTCCTAGATGTGCCGTACTTCAACATTGTCACGTTCCTAAAACCTCCCACCCACGAACCATACGTTACAGCTATTGAAGTATCAAACGTGGTTGTCGGGAAACCATCTTAGTTTTCATTAATTTTGAGGTTCATAGCTTGTCCAGGGGGCAGTAGAGAGTGTGTATTTTATTAAGACATGAACAGTTTATGGATAACGTCTTTATTGTATGTACAATATTTCAGTGCTTCCTCTCCTTTATTCACATCAAGCTTCTATTTTGGGTCCACCTTCAAAATTCCAATCAAAGACAACATTTTATTAAATGGTTCTAATCAAATTATTTACAGCTTGCTGATATTCAAATTCAGAAACATTTGAGACTGTAAAATAATTTCTTAAGGGAGATTACAAAATGATTTCAATTTTCAATGTATTGAAGACATATTCTTAAATCACATTAATAATATGCACAATTTTCAAAAGAAATGCCATAATTTCTTCCCACTGATTTGTGAACATATGAAACTGGTATATTTCTTAGCCTCCTTTGTAAACCATTTTGGTTCAAATATTCCGATTCACTAGATGACCTTGCCATATATGTGGACATTCTGGGAGAATATTTACCTAGCTGAGAAAGTAACAGCACCTTCTTTTATAACAGGTTGGAGATAGTTGTTAGACAAATAGTACATAATACATAGCTCCATTTTCCTGACCACCTGTAGTCCAAAAGCCTTGCACTTGTTGGTCCGAACTTAGATATCATAGCCGACATCATATTTGCTCAACGTATGTCAAAGAATTCAGACAATCTTGAGTAAAGAAAGAAATGTAGAAATATAACTGGTCAAAATGACACCCTTTCAACACATTGTAGTGATTCATCGAAGAAAAGACATGTTCATATTGACACAAGGGTAGGGAGAGTTGATTTAGATTTGGCCTTCATGTACCCTATTAACCAAATCTTGATATATGACCCTGTGTGGAATTTGTTTTTTATCCCCCTTGGGCTTATTTAGCCTTCTTCGGCAGGTATGAAGATAAATTGATCGATCTTGAGCTGCCATACGTTGTTGTGATTTACTCGGTCAAGCTCTTACAAACAGTCCAGGCTACCATCCAAAGAATTACTGTCTCTGGAATAAATTCTTCTGACATTTTCAAATTCAGGCTCAGGGAATGGTGACATGTTTGTTTCAGTGTATGAAAATATATACCTGTTAAGTCTTCGAGATAAACATGATCCCCGAAGTTGTAAGCTATTTTTGAAGCGTGACTCATTCGTTGACTATTTGCTTCCTTGAATAAGGTTGCAGGACTGAAAATAAAATTAGGACAATGTGAAACTTTTATACATTTTCGTTGCTAATAAATGTTTAGTTGTTGAGCCTTGTGTAAATCAGTCAATATTGACAAAAAAGGCTACAATATTTGCTTTTCTTTACAATATAAAATATTTCCTTTTCCAATTCTGACAACTAACCAATGATAATTGACTTAAATTGCTTTTCTATAGGATCACTTTAATAAAATAAATGAATTTATAAGACTTACAGCTTACCCCCACTAAGAAACAAGGTAACCCCCACTTAGAAAGCATTGAGTGTTACCAATGTTGATTACAGGTAAGTGACCACCTGGTCAGGTAGATCTGGATACCTGGGGTCAAGGGCTAGCTGTGACTCACACTAGGGCTAGGCTGGGCCTGATACAAGGGGCCGTGTCAACACAGGAGGGTCCCTTTCCCCAGGGTGATAAGAGAATCAGTTTAGATTTACTAAAATCCAAAGTAAAAGTGGAAACATACCTTCCTCGTTAGGCAGTTCTGTGAAATTGAAAGGTATGATTCAAAGCTTCACAAGTTGTATACCAAACCTTGGATTAACATGTTAATGCTGTCGTCCTGTACTATGACTGGGAATATCTACATTTACCTTGATGAAACCTGTCCAGGTGTAAAAATAGGCAAATCCTGTCAGCTGCTTTCAACATGAATTCTGTTAAGTCAGCAACAGAAAAAAATAAGTGAAATTAATAAGTTGTAAAATAAGATTTCATAAACTATGGGATAGTCTAAATATATTTGTAAGTGCCGTCAAGTCAGATATGCAGTCATGTATGTGCTAAGTGTTAATGGCCATGACTCATAGATGCACTTCTTGTATATCAAACACTGTATAATTTTGTTATATGACAGAATATATTCAAAGCATTGTCTAATTTCATATGCAGAGAGGAAAAAGTTTAAACATGACTTTTGTTTAATATCACAAAAAGAATATTATTGTGAAACAGTGTGCCCCAAAAGCATATGATTAAGTCCCTTCTTACTGATTACCCCAGAAAGTGTATATCAGTAAGTATATGTCACAGACTTGTGAAGAGATGGACAAGACCAAAAAATTGGACTCTATGACTTGGCAAACCATCAGTCACTGGTTTGATTGGTCCAGACTAGCATACAGCAATATTCTCACTCACTCACTCACTCACTCACTCACTCACTCACTCACTCACTCACTCACTCACTCACTCACTCACTCACTCACTCACTCTCTCATGTACATTTGTAATTCTTTAAAGTCAGTCATCAAATGCCAATTCCAAGAACTGCCTTATCCCCACAAATGGTTAAAATTAAATCAGAAAAGATAAAAAGTATGAGAAAAATATATTATGTATAAGCTGATAAAAATAGTCTGTCCTTTATCTTTGTTTTTCTAACCATGAATAAAAAGGTAATTACCTAACTAGTGTCTTATACAAAAGTGAAATTACATGGTGACATACCTAGGTCACATGGTACTTCAGATCTTCTAGCCTGTAGGTGTCACTTGATGACTTCCTTTAACTTGCATATTTACAAATCAATACTTATAATTGACAGTTTCATTATCAGCCCAACAGATATAGAAAAGACCAAAATAATGTCTTGAAAGAGATACATGCTAGCATGGTGGAAACAGCTGTAATTAGAAGCTGTGTTATCTCAGATACTGCCCTGTTGATGGTCCGTTTGAGTGTGGTCTGTCAAGGGTCTGTCTGACATCTCATATATTCTGTCATGTCACATATCAGTATTGAGTAAACAGGGATCGCTGTTGTAGGCTGGTGGGTCTTGAAGTTTTTTAATCTAGACATGCGAGTTGACTTCAAAGATAAATATACCATTTGAAGTATGTGTAAGGAGTGAAGTGATTGCTGGCAAGGTGTATGCACAGTGGTTAGATGTGTTTGATAAAGATGACTCAAATGGTTGTGTTTGGAGGCATCATTTAAATTTTGTTTTGAAGTTGGTTATAATTTTTAGTTGAAGATTGGTCTTGACATATTCTTGTCTTTGTTTGATTTGGAATGAGGCTTGAAGAAGCAATGTTTTCTTCAAATCGTCGCCTCTGTGAGCTGATAACAGATTAAAGTTAATATTGACTTCACATGGCAATACATATTTAATAAAGATAATAATAAATATCATCAATGATTCATGTCCCTTGGAAGGCAGATTTGAACAAAACTGGGTTGTTTATCTTTGTTCTTCTATTTCCTTATTGAGATAAATGCAGAAATATATTTATGTTGGTTTTGGCAATATTCCCTATGTGGGAGGTACAACCACTCCACACAATGTTCTCATGTGAGGATCTAACCCAAGCCTTAGGCATGACCAGGGAACACCCCTTAACCAGTGGGCTACCCACTGTCCCTCAGCATATTTAGTAATCATGCATATTTAGTGCTTTATAGAACCTTCTTGCTATGTTTGCAATCAAAATGTGCAACAGTGATCTGGAATAACACACTCAACAGTGTTAATCATCAGAATATTTGATGTTTCGTCAGCATGGGCAGAGTAGAAAATCGTTAAGACAAATAATGTTAATGATCACCTGTGTGAAACCGATGCAGAAATCGATAGCGATCTGTCAGTGTCAGAGGCGAAGCAGGAAAACACTTGTCGCATAATGTTTACCATGTTTGGAATCCATTTTGCTTTGTTAGCGTAGGACAGATGATTGGTTTAAATGTGACTGATCACTGAGATGATTTATGGGTGTGGAGGAGGGGGTCGTGTTCAGGAGAATCAGGCTGATTGTGTTTCATGCAAATGTTTTCGATATGTATATCCTCTATAAACAGCATGATTTTTATGCTCCTAGGCAAAATGTACAGATAATATCAAAATCAGGTAATATGAAACTCTGGCCTTATCCCCAACACTGCATGATGGACCATGTTCAGGACCTGTGCTTGTCCCTCTCCACAAGAACATGTGGTTTATATTTTGACAGTTAGTCAGCTTTATTATGGACATTAGTTTTCAAGTCTCTGATCAGAGTGGGGTAGCCTGGTGGTTAAAGCATTTGCTCATCACACTGAAAATCTGGGTTCAATTCTCTCCAAATGGACAGTGTGAAGCCAACTTGTGTTTATCTCCCCTGTGATATTGATGAAATATCGCTAAAAGTGGCGTAAAACCATACTTACTCAGTCAAATCTACAGTCATAATTAGCAGTGATTTCTTTTAAATATTATATAGATTTTATTCTTGCTTTTATTCATGATTAAACGTCTTGATACATCTTGATCATGAGTAACACAATGTCTCTGAAATGAAAATATTTGAATATTTTCCTAGGTCAGAAGTACTGTAATTTTAGACAAGTGTATTCTTAAAGCCTTGACACAAAAGTCTTTGAGAAATAAGTGAAAGCAATATATGGATATATATAATGACGTTCATGCTTAAATATGTTTAAATCCATATAGTTATATCCATGAAAGATCTTGATTCTGAGTTACACATGGATTACTGTTGATAGTTATTCCGACATCTATAGCTGGCCCAATCGTCCCTCTATCCTAGTTATTCCCACATCTATAGCTGGCCCCATCGTCCCTCTATCCCAGTTATTCCCACATCTATAGCTGGCCCCATCATCCCTCTATCCCAGTTATTGCCACATCTACAGCTGGCCCCATCGTCCCTCTATCCCAGTTATTCCGACATCTATAGCTGGCCCCATCGTCCCTCTATCCCAGTAATGTATTCTCTCTGTAGTCAAGTATTTGCCCCACCTTCACCTGGAGGGATGTGTTTTGTCCCTGACAGGTAAAGATGTGATGATGATGTCACAGATAAGAACATGAGTCGGAGACACAGGTATTGTACCTCAGGCAGGAAAGGATTTTTGACTCCTCCACTCGTGAGACTTTTTATCACCAAACGTGATGGTCCTGAATCTGAAAGCGTTATATTCAAATTTTGAACCAGATGCTTCCTCATTTATATTCTTTTGAAAGATGCATATATTTTCAAGTTGACCCCAATCTGCCATTCAGTGAATATAGAATATGTATCCTGTTTCCAAATTTGAAATTTGTCTAAAAATTTAGACTCTGCTGTTGGTAGAGATGTCTTATGATTCTGTCACTTATATTTGATATGTCTTTTAAACAGGCTTTTATAAGTAATTGACAGTATATCTGATATGTGAATTGTCTGTGAATAATTAACTGTTATTTCTAACTTACGTATGTAAGAAGCTCATTGAATGATCAATGAAGCTATGAATGTGCGGAAAACTTCAGTGAGTTGTCGTGCACAACATACAAAGATACACCATTCTTTTGGAAAGACTTCACAATGAAGACACATTGTTAGTACACATGAGACGTATAGCCAGGGGGAGGGTGATAAAGCTGTAAGAAGCAATTAGGGAGACTCAATTGGACTGTTATCTGTAAAATAGCCTTAAGATACACCATTGTAGAAGATACACTTGTGTCCTTGCAGTGTCCCAGCATCAGACTGTCTCACAGTCCCTGAACCAGAGTGTTTTATCTTCCAGCCCTTTTCTGTAATACGTATGCACTCAAACTGTGGCTGAATGGGTTAAACGGCTGACTTTGTGCACAGGCAATTAGGTGCCTGACTCTGAGGATGTGCAGGGGAGTACCTACCGTTGTTAAAAAAACCCGGGCTTACACATAATTGTTGCTAAAAAGGTTAGGCAAGCCCTCAATACTATTTAAATATAAAGCTTTCCAACCTATCGGGCTTACATGAAAAAAATGGCTTGCTACGGACCAGATGTGGGTTTGAATCCCGGATGGCACTCAACCTAACAGGGCGGTGGGGTAGCCTAGTGGTTAAAGCGTTCGCTCGTCACGCTGAAGACCCGGGTCGCTTCCCAACATGGGCACAATGTGTGAAGCCCATTTGTGGTGTCCCCCGCCGTGATATTGCTGGAGTATTGCTAAAAGTGGCGTAAAACCATACTCACTCACTCACTCAACCTAACAAAAGTAATAGAATGTGTACTTTACTGAGAAAGTGTAATCCCAAATATAGCATATGTTATATCTATTATTGTTTTATAAGTATGTGATAGGACACATGGAAATAAAAAATATATATTGATTACCCTAAGAAGACTAGTTAAAATGAATACCCATGTTGGTAATAACATGTAATTTCCAAATGGTTGAAAAGACTGTCTGCAGCACTGAGCAACTGCTTCATCCTCCCACACAAACTGAAGTCTAATGATAGTGGGATGACAATGAGCAACCTTATCATGGCCAACACAGGTATCTAAAGTGACCATCTCACTAAGGGCCGTGATGTCCCTTGCCAATATAACACTGACCCCTAATTAGCCTTTCTCACATAACAGAATATTGAGACACCCGGGGTATAAGTAGCGTTATAACCCTAGCAAGGATCAGTACCTCAGTGATTTGCTGGTGTACAATACACTTGTAGTCTGGCTGGTCATATTGACACAGACAGGGCTAGGTGTTACCCCCTGTTATATCACTCTGCCCTCAGTGTGCCCCATTGGACCTGATTCCTAACTTACATAGACCAGCATATGTGGGTTATAGGGTGACATTGCATCACTCATGTTGGTCCAC